CACCGTTTCAATTCCAAATTCCTAAAATAATTCGAAGTGGTCTGAGTTCTGTCGATACTGTGCGACGCGCTGATGAGATCCAACAAGATCGAAATCGCGATCCGCGTCTGGCAGTTTCGACAGAACACAGACCACTTCGAATTTCTTTGTTCGATTTTGGTAACGTGCCTATCACGTTGAGGTTGGCTACGCCGGGATTCGTTTGAGCAAGTAGATATCCATATATTTAAATGGACCTTGTTGGAGCATACGTAATCCTAAAATGTAGCATTGTACTGCAGATGGCGTTTACCACACCATTTGTGGTATTTTATCCAAATTCCTATTTAGGCTAATTTGCAAATCATTGATATTGATTTTCATTCTACACATAAAATATTCACCACTTTTTCGTCTGTATCTCATGTGCCTCATCAACTCTTCCCCAACCACACTTTCCACTGTTTTCCACAATTCTTCAAAGGTGACTAATGAGAGCCTTCCACTTTACCTTTCGGCTTTGCTACACTAGAATGTAAAACGGAGAACCTGCCCTCCCACCAGCATTAGTGGCTGGTGGGAATCAAACAGACAGAAAAACGCATTCACTTTTAAATTAATGTGAATATTAAACGGCTTTCTAGCTATTAACATCTTTCGTAAAATATCGACCTCTCTATAGGTAAACAGGTAGAATTATTATTTATTCCACGTTTTCGTTTCCATCGTCTCGTAAATATACGCATGCTGTTGTAGAAGCCCCGTCGCGATTCATTAAAATAACTTATGCAGTGTCATCTTTTACTCCAATTAGTAAGTTCGTGACACCAGATCGGTCATCCTTGGCTCGCTTGTCGGCTTACGTATGAAATAGTTAAGCCCCGCACATTACCATAATGTGCGCACATGTAAACGTGTGCATTTCTAGAAGGGCGTCGCGCTATTACATGACCAACTAATAACGATAGTTATCGGAAGAAGCGTTTGAAAGATGATATCTTTTGACCTTGAACCGTGTCTTACCTGCTACACATTATAACTGAACACTGCACTCGTTGGACCGTTAACGTATCCTTATTAATGCTAATCGTGTACGTGTGATCTCGACAATGATTGGAAAGAATGGCACAAAATGGCGATTCATTTGATCGTGAAACAATAAAGATCGATGATTGTCCGGCTCTAGCAGCAAAAGTTACTGTGCATGAGTGTTATTTTAAAACTGATAAAATGTCTAAGGAGAGACGCTGCTTAAATGAACTTTATGATTAGTATTGTTTATGATGGAAAATAGAAGGAGGAGACTGTGGTAAATATTAATTAAAAAATTAAAAGGAACACACCCCTAATTACCACAAATAATTTTATATGAGCGGACACGTGTTTCGCCCACTTCACACGCCGCGTTGATAATGTCCACGTGTGAAGTGGGCGAAACACGTGTCCGCTCATGTAAAATTATTTGTGGTAATTAGGGGTGAGTATTCCTTTTAATTTTTCAATTGTTTATGATGAATTAAATAAACAATGTTCTCTGTGTATACACTGAAGACGCAGGAGTTGGGATAAATTCATTTAAAATTCAGGGGTTTGTTTTTTGGAAAAACGTTCTGATTTCATGGTAAATTCAGATATACAGGATGACCCAAAAATAAGCCAACCACCAACTTTATTTTTTCAAATGGAAGCACCTATTTTTTATTACATTTTTGAATTTCTGATGATTCTTTTTTTCTGAAAGCCATCTTAATGGTCACATTAAAAAATACTCTAATAAATTACAATATCTAGGTTATGTTTCTTGTAATTCCATTTTGAACAGCGACATGACCTCCATAAGGCGAAAATAAAGCTCTGTTGCTAATTTTTAACGTTTCAATAAGTTTAGTTACCTATTTATTCTGAATGGATGTCAACAATTAAATTGAATAGGTTAATGACCACCGAAGGGTTTTCTGCAGTTGTAAAATGATTTGAAAATCAGACTGCGGTTTGGCGAGTGTTTATAATGAATACGCTAATTTGTTGAATTTGGCATTTAATTCTGTACACCATTTATACGTACAATTCATCCATCCACTATAAATTACCGTATTGAATAACATTGACTTGTAGTTACCGCTAAATTGGATAAATGTACCACCACGTCATTATTTAAATATTTGCCTATTATTACACATCATCATCATGGGATCGTCTGTCCTAAGACACGTACCTCTTCTTTCCTATCCTAAGCTAATCTTCCCATTTTCCTAAAACTAACACATCCTACTACCTCTACTTCTCTTAACTCCTGCCTCTGCTTCTAATATATTTCTAACCAGCCCTTCGTGGCTGAGAAGTTGTCCTACTAGCCTATCCCGCCTATTTCTCATTGACTTCCATAGCGTCCGTCTTCTGTTCTCCTATTTCGAAAGCTTTTAACCTTTTCTTTTACTCCGCGCCCACCATCTGCATTGCGCACCCCGTGCTCCAGAAATACGCCATTAATCCTTTTCGAATTTCTAAATTGGAAAGCTTAAAAATGACTTTTGTTTTGTTAAAGGGGACTCTACCCAGCGCTATTCTTTGTTTTATATCTCTACTGCTCTTTTCGCCGTGAATTATCTGACTTCTAGGTACCGAAAATCAACGACTTCTTCTAAGTTTTCGTCTCCTATCTTTATACTGACTCATTTCCTACATTTTGTTATAATGATTATATTTATTATATGTAAATAGTAGGAAACAGTTTCATACAGAGAAATCTAGTAATAAATAAAATCTACCACAGCCTAATGCTAGTTCTAAAGAATTATTGGCCGTTAGAAATCTTTAATCATCAGACAACTTGAACAATTCGGTCGCTATATTCCGATAATTTAAATGACCAAAGCATTGCGTTTCCTGTCCTAAACGCTCCCGTCGATAGTTATTGATTTTATGGAGTTAATCGATCGCGATTCGTTAGACTGAAGAAATCACGCCGATGTGTGGCAAGTGGAGGTCTCAAGAGAGACACCCAACTAGCATCGAGGAGATGGCTTCTGTAGAAGATTAGTAGTTCACCTTCAGTCGGATTACTGCCGCTATCGTCTCCTTATTCTCGCTGCCTAAATTAATGAGGACGTGTAACGTTCGAAATGATAGTGCAGCAGCTAAAACTCGCTCTTCTCGCACGATCGGAACCCATTATTATGCCATACGATACGCCACCGGTTGGCAAATAGTTGTAATTATCGTGTGATACGGCTACACACTAGCGTCACGTTTGCCTTCGAAGCTGCGTTACGTCTTTTTAATTGCGATCGCTGCCGCAGAAAAGCCGAAGAAGACGGAGAAGCAACGAAAGATCCGACGTAGAGATGCTTTTATAACGAGTGTGGTTCTGTATTCGAGTTCTGGTTTTGAATTTTGATAAAGCGACATGGTCGGACAACGCGTAGGAGTTGGAACTAACAGTGGTCGACCGGTGACGATTTGTGAATGTCCGTGCGGCGAAATCTGAAATGCGGGAGCGCGTGTTACGATCCCGTCGCGCGCAGTGTGTGTCTGCCAGCTGGCCGTCGAAAACCAGGACATAAATTTGTAGCGGGTGGTCGAAACTACAGGTTAAAAGTCTCTTTAAAATAAAATAAAAACAATGAGGAATACGTGGGATTACAAAACGAAGATGTTGAATGAAGACGCTTCTTTTAGATATATATTTTCGTTTTGGTCTATGAACTTTATTGTTCAATTAGAGTAGAGTGTTTCAAAATTGTTATAGTCGTAATGAGACACTACAACAGAAGTTATAGACGTCGTGGATTTTTAAGGTCATAGCAAGGTCAAATATGATTACCATTAAATAGGACAGACTTGAAAAACATGCAGTGGTGGGATAAATCTAAATCTAGGAAAATAACTCTTAGATCTAATTTGAGACCAACTTCAAGAAGACGAACTCCCCAAGAAGAAATAAATGTAGGTACCATGGATGAAATGATTCATACCAGTGGATTTAGGCGAAGAATTACAAATCTCAATCTCTTTCGTTATTTATTGTGAGATCATTTGAACACCGAGGCGTATACAAAAAAAAACTTTTGGGTGTTTCATTCCCACCGAATGCTAAGCAATGGTCTAGACCTCTAGGCCATGCCGCTCGGTGGCGTATACATAATTCAGATGATTTACGGAATAAGATAACTCGTGGTATAATCTGACCGAATCCCCATCAATCTTTTCTGACTGGGTCTTTAAATGCTTTTGATAACATACATGCTAACTAAATGATTTGACTTCCGGATGATGTTTGTATATTAGTTTTGCTACATTAAAAATGCATGTCTAAACGTATACTTGGTGCACTTTTAGAGGTCAAAACTACGTGTGCGCATTATAAATTATCGCAAGTTGATCACTAAATGGCTATAAAAATACTCAAATCCAGTCATCATCGTACAGCTAATTGTTGGAGTAATTTTTCCACAATTACCTTCATTTCATACATCGTGACTAAAATTTTTATTCCATATAATAATGTAATTAAAATTAGGATGATTTTGTACGACCGGTATAAAGTTATTTTCTTCACCTATAGTTCTAAAAATAACCGTATCCTATACAATTTTATCACTGTGGGTTTTAACATTAACAGCCATTTTCACATATTAGTTGTTACCAAATAATTTTATGATACCATTTCAATAACTTTCTTCTTTTCAGTAATGAATATCGGGCATATTTCGTTAATAATAATACCTTAAACGTTTTGAAGACAAAACTAATAAGTGATAGCACCTAACAATAAGTATAACTGATGAAATTAATGGTATTTTGTATTTACAAGATTTTTGGGCCACTTCCACTGTTTTTTGTTTATTATATTGTTTGCCAGTTTCATGTACATTTTTTGCAATTGCTGAAGATTTTATTTTCATTTCTCAAATACGAACGAAAAGTGAATGAAATTGTATATTTATTTTATCAGTCGAGAGTAATCTGTTTTCTTGATCGTTTTCGATGTCTTTTTACATCCGTATCTCTTTTTGTTTCAGACTGTAAGCTAACTTCACTTGTTATTCGGGCCAAGAATGCGTAGTAGTACGGTGCAGAACGTTCCTGTAGCCACTGTGAACTGGTTGCAGAGACAGCGGCATTTAGCCGCCCAGTGCTGATGACTATGGCCGAGGCTGCTGTCCAAAAGAATTCTAGCACACATGATAACGCGGTTCACGCAAAGAATCACGCTTACGTATCAGCCCTGGTGGGCCGTTCCGGTGGAAAGCAGCGTAAACGCAAACGCCTGTCACAAGTACTAGATAAATTGACTACCGGTATTAATATTAGCGCCAATATTGACGCTCCGTCACCACCTGCATCTAACGTTGGAACTGTTACAATCAATAACAACCTTCACCAGCACGTCAATAACAATATTAAGGACGAAGTGAGTAGAAATGCGTTGAAAAATAGTGCGAACCATAAGAATTATCATCTTATGTCGAACGACGTCTTTCGCTTCGACAACAGCGGCGAGAAGGAAAGGTATCAGGCAAGTCCTAGTGAAGACGAGGACGTGTTTAGCCCGACTGGTTCGAGTAATAAATCGCCACACAGTTCTAGTGATTCTCCGCGCATTTCGTTCAGTCCGTTGCGATTAAAGGAGGACGATGCTAGTTGTAGTCCTCCATTGCCCAGACCCGCATGTCCGTGTTACCATTGCGTAACTGGAGTTGGTCACCATCCGCCTTCATTTCATCCCTACGATAGATTTTTCCCAGCGTCACCTGTTTCGCCTCTCACGCCCGCATCACCTGCACCTCCTACATACAGTTTTGAACGTTACCTCCATTCAAAGTACCTGCCAGATATCTTCCGACGAAGAAGTCATTCGGATTCCGATTTGCCCTTATGGTTTGAAGCAGCGAAGGCAGAAAGGCCAAGACCGCATCAGGGATGGACACATCATTATCCTTTAAGTCTGACTACTGGAAGAGGTTCGCTAGAGTCTGAAGTGCCATCACCACAAGACTCTCCACTAGATTTATCGCTTAAGGGCAAAGACAGGATCGGTAGTATGGAATGTTTGGTTCCTCCTCCGCCTCTGCAGCTATTGCCGTCAGGTTTCTTGCCTCCAAGAGGTGCAGTTTCAGTTCCTGTAGTTAAGGGCGACGTCGCGTCCCCGACGACGAAAGAATCGGTCGCGTCGCGGTATAATCTCGAAGTGTCACCGGTGGTTGAAGAGATGCCTCCCGGTTCGGACGTAGCATACGTGTGTCCCGTGTGTGGTCAGATGTTCAGTTTACACGATCGATTAGCTAAGCACATGGCATCGCGTCACAAAAGTAGGCAAAGTGCTGGCGAGAACGCGTCAGCGAAAGCGTACCTCTGCGAGGTATGTAAGCGGTCGTTTGCGCGTAGCGATATGCTCACGCGGCATATGCGTTTACACACGGGAGTTAAACCGTACACGTGCCGCGTTTGCGGTCAAGTATTTTCCAGGAGTGATCATCTGTCAACACACCAGAGGACTCACACTGGAGAAAAACCGTACAAATGTCCACAGTGTCCTTACGCAGCGTGTCGCAGGGATATGATAACACGTCATATGCGAACGCATGCGCGTTACGAGCCCGAGGCGAATGTTGCCGTTAAACCCGAGCCTCACTGAAGTATGTAGTATATGCTCTCCAGTTACATATGTATAATCTCGAATGATATCATGATATCGTTTTATTGTTAGTAAGTTAAGTAAGCGAAATGATGGAGTGAAAGGTTTAAGTATGAAAAAGTAGAATAGTGTCTCAAACTCTATTCTGTCAAATATTGTAGACAATACAGCCAAAAAAAATTTTTTAATAAATTATATTGAATTGAAAAAGCATGGAGCCAGTGAATTGAGATGAAACGTTTTATGTTTATGTCCTTGCATCATCTAATTCATAATTTTCTCAAAACCTGGAGTACTAGAGGCAGCATCCTAATACTACAGTAGGAAATAAGAGGAGTGCCGCTACGTTTCTCTTTCTAACATTATCTGAGTGGCTTTCTCTTTCCCAGTGGCACTCTCTACCTCTTCACATTGTCGTTAGAAAGAGAAAGGATGTAGCGGCATTCATCCAACCAGACCTAACCTAACCTAATTGGACAATTATTACGCGAAACAGAATTTTATTAATACCATCCCTTTAGTGTTGCAAATTGGATGATCCCACATTAATATCTGTAAATTGGTCTGATATTTCAATTCAAAAAATTTTACTAGTCTTTGCTACAAAAGAAGTACAGTCCATTTCAATTTGTTGGAATTGTGACCTTAAAGAAATCTGCGCGAAGATAGAAAGAATACACACTAGGCGTGAGCAAGACAGAAATAGTTGGAATAAGCTTGAACGAGCAGAGCTCTCGATGGGCGGTCTTAGGAGATCGGCTAGGACTGTAGAGTACTAGACGAAAATGTTTAGCAATTTCTTAAAATAAAAATGTATATAAATTAACAATAGAAAACAAAGCAAAAGTTTTGTAGGTGTGTATAACGTTAAGTTAATTCACTTGTTATTATTTTTGGCTAAATATGTTTTTAAATAAAGCATATTCTTAAATTTTAACGAGGCAGTTTAAATAATTTTGCAAATGGTACTGTACAATTTCGTCTATTTCTCGCTCGATGATCGGTGGAGAAATGAGTTCCGCAGACAAATATGATTGAATTTGGAATTATGCTACGACGCATCCTAATAAAAGGAAAGGGCATATCTTTAACTTCTTGAAACGAACAGTATAATAATCTGTCTTTTAGGATTTGTTGAATTATATGCAAACAATTTTCTTTAAATTGCTAAAAATTTGTGTCGTGTTGTGTGAAAACCTTCAGATATTCACTTTAAATAATTGAAGTAAACATCAAATGAGTTCTTACTCCTTCATTGGCTATAATATTAATAATTTCTTGCCTAATTATGTGTATTCTTTACTACCGGAAGAGTAGTTTAATCTAGTCTATAAATGGGAATTTATTCAGATCAGTTACGGATTATCTAGTAATCTGACAAAGTTAAATGATCTGTAATAAGCTGCAGTGCTAATCAAAAGTAGGTACTATCGATTCAATCAAACTTATTTGATGAGCTAACTATGTACTCGAAACCTTTTACTGCCATCATGCCGATATAGATACTAAACAATTGTTTGACAGCTAATAAGATAGCGTTTCAATCTTTCTGAGCTGAACGATCAGAACACTAATTACTGTCAGTGTTGCCATTATTTCGACGGGACGCACCCACATTCGTGGTAGATCCCGATCGATTGCCAGATCTCATCTGTTGTTGTTCGATCATCAAGTGTACGACTACCTAACGTATTAAACCGCTATCGCTACTATCACTACCACTACTACTACTTACTACTACTTCTGTGTGCTACCTTTCACACGTCACACATCTACATCTGTAGAATGTGTTTTATTATTGTACTGACTTGATCCTTTCAGTGCCAAATGTCGTTGTCATGTCCAGTAGTATTTTTACATACAAATAGGTACATAAAATGCGACGTTCGTATTTAGGTTTTAAGAGCGATCAGTTTCGATTACTTAAGTAAAAGTAATACAAGCGTGGCGATAAAAAAAAATGAACAATTTTCAGAGTCTCGTCTTTTTTATACTTGCAAACGTGGATAGAAGCCATTAACTAGTCATAGTGAGAAAACAGAATACGTTTAATACAATTTAGTGCAGCTTGTGACGTATTGTACCGAATGTAAAATGTGGGGATGGGGGGGATCGAAAGAGGAGGTCTCCCCCACCACTGTATCATAAAAAGTTCGTGGCGGTCTCACCCCCATAAAAGGTTATAGGGGTTCAAAGTTAATAAATATGCCAATTATTATACATTTCTAGGCATGTAAATATTTCTATAGTCATTCTTAAACAATATTCAAAGGTAAAACTAATGAAAAATACATAAAAATATTGAGAAAGTTTTATAAAACATTATTTAAATATCTTAATCAATAGGGTAGGTTAGGTTAGGTTATCGGGTTTTGTTCAAGTGACCACCCTCTTTCGATCCCCACCTCTACCCGGTTGAAAATATTTTTTTTATTGAAATTTATTTGAATCATAGTGTGTAAAAATTGTCTAAATGATCAACTTTCAACCCCTATAACTTTTTATGGGTGTGAGTCCGCCGCAAAATTTTTATGGAGTTTTATTCAGGTGACCACCCTCTTTCGATCCTCCCTACCCTCTTTCGATCTCCCCTACCCCCACCCCCATCTAACCCCCATAACTTTTTATGGGGGTGAGACCGCCACGAACTTTTTATGTTACAGTGGTGGGGGAGACCTCCTATTTCGATCCCACCCGCCCCCACTCCTTTCGGGGGTGGGGGGCCATCATCTAGACATTTACCGTTTTGAGTTTAATTGTATTTATTTTCCTTTAGACAATGTGTGTAAAATCCTATAATTTCTATTAAATTTGTGAATTTTTGAAATTAGATGATTGGCGTAATTAAGATTTTCGTTTTAATATTCTGGTTTTGAATGACCTTCCTGTTTGAGCAGTATGGTTTTGAAGTTTTTCCGAGAAAATGCCGAAAAGTGGTAAAAACTCTTCTTTTGGAGGTATGGTCCCTTAAAGTTATATTTTTTTCTAAGGACTTCCAAGGTACAATTATACCGATTATACGTATTGAATACGTTGAATAAAAATTATACAAAAAAATAATGATGTATTGTACCTATGTGTATTGCAAATTGTGGATGTGTCATGGTTTCAGACCAGTCGTGATTATGCACTCTGCAAAAGTGAAGTACACCTCAACGTAATAGTGTGGGTATTTATGGGGAAAGAAAGTTGGTGTAATTCCTCAGAGAGAATAATCAGACACCTGTTGTTTACAGTTGTATACAGAGCCCTAGGTCACTCATTTTATTTATTATTTAATATTTATATTAGTCTAAGCGATCAAAACGTACTATTATACGTACTGTCAACTTAAAAATGACAATTGACGATATGAAAGATGAATTAAGGCGTAATTAAGACAATGGGAAGTAACGGACGAGCCATACGGAACACAGCTCTTATGTTTATCATTTTTCTATAATATCTGGTTATGTTCATATATTGTACCGTGTATTTTTTTAAAATACTTACGGTTTACGCCATTAGCCTGGAACGGGCCTGAAGAAATAAGGGTAAAAGAGTTTTTTGCACAGTGCATTACCATCCTTGGTCCGATGACATATGACATATTCATAATATAGATTTAATACATCAATATATGCATACATATATACTTAAACCTATGCAATACGTATAATAGGTGTAACTGTACTTTGGAATTCCTTACGGAAGAATGAAACTTTAAAGGGACCATGCCTCAAAAAGATAAACTTTTACGGTTTAGCGCCCATTGAGACTTTTGATCTGCATTTCGAGAACTGCCAGAATCCAGAAGTTTCAAAAAGTGTGACAGAAGACTATTTTCCGAAAGGATCTGACGGTATTTGATATATACCTACTGCATTAGATTTAATTTTAAAATGCTACTCATTATTGTCGTTTTGTATTACATTTTTATTAGAATTTCTGTTTTTGTTTAACATAATTTATTATTTAACGATTACTGAACATTATTTTGAAGAATACACGTTATTTTTTATTATTTTTCAATTCTTTTTTAATAACCGTAACCACCGTACTGGTAACCGTAGGGTTTACCGTAATATATGTTCGAACAGTTGCATCACTGTAAGGTACTAAAACCCTACAAAATAAAGCACTAAAACCCTAATTTCACACAAAAACGTTTATAGACAAACACATCTCGACACACTAAATAAAGTGTCACTCTCACTAGCATCTAAACAGAGCAGAGGATCAGGTAAAACTACTTTTGGCGGAAATGCTTGGGCAAACATTCTCGTGTTACAAAATTAAATGTGTAAGCGAATTTAGAATCAGAGCAACTTAAATTCATCATAACCTAACCTAACCTAAACTTTAAGGGGGATGTAACTTTAAGAAGAAAAAAAAATTAAAAATAAACATAAATCAAAAAGAAAAAGAAAAGCATTTCACTAGGTGGGAATAGAACCCATGGAGAACCGTTTGACAAGCGGGCATTGTCTATTGCTAATCTATGATAATGGTTTTTACCATTGATATCATTGATAAAGCATTTGTAGTTTGTATTATAGCCTAACTTTAAAAGTTTTTTCAACAAAACGCTAACATTTTATTAAAATAAAATAGAACATTCGAATATCGCCGCGATTTTTTCATGGCCCCATATTTTGGCATTCTGAACAACTTTTTCTTATGACTTTTTTCGATTTGACTCATATTTCACAAGGTTGCCATTTAAACGAAATTTTATTTTTTCTGTTTTCAAACACTCTGTATAGTAAACCAAATTTAGATAACACAGTTAATCATTTATTAAAATATAAACATTTTGGGCCACACTGTATTTAGTGTAACACTCCACTTGAAAAAGCTATTGTGTTAGCAAAGCAATTGTCGTAGTCAAAATAAAAATTGTAAAAATTACGAGTTCTATTTTATTAGTTTTATAAAGTTCATTACAATTTTGTGGCCCCGAGCATCTCCGAGTTAATTTGTTTGAGTCCGTTTTGGCAGGTTCGTCTGTTCCTTTTAGACTAGTTTCATTGATATCATTGTTACAATTAGGCAAAAAATCAATATTAACCAAAAGGAGAAGATAGTAATGGCGGTAGTACAAGGGTCATGTTTGTGTAGTTAGGCATCCACAATTTGTGGTTAAATAAAAAATCGGTTTCAAATGTTTTCTGGATAGTGACTTCGTATCGATATAAAATTGCACATGAAGACAAACGTCAGATTATGATGAATTTGCATACCTTGTTTATTGACCACATCTGTATGCTCATTCCATATATATAATAGCCCCATATGACCTGTTAATACAAAAATGAATGCTCTGTCAGTACGGTGCTGACTATATTTATTATCTCTCTCCTCGAAGACACCTTCTGCACGTTGCGCATGCTTGAGAAATCTTCGTGTTCGTTTCCTCTTTTATTTCGATTCGCGCATGCGCATCGTTTAATAATTAGTTACACTCCTCAAGCACGCATGCTCACAACCGATTTTTTAAAAATGCGCATGCGCAAATCGTAAAATATTACCGCAAGCGAAGACACTCTTTAATACAACAGCAGTATACGCACAAAACATGCAGGGGCTCGGAAGATAGAAAAAACGATACACTATCTGTTTCACTTTGTCGGAATAGCTTCCACTTAGAAAATGGCCATATAGGAGTATTACATATATGGCTCATTTGAGCTGCCGTATGTCTCC